TACTGAATAAACGGTTTTATTGTAACTTAGTGACTGAGTTATGGAAAAATTGCCTCCTGTTGTTGTGTTGTTTAGGCAACAAAAATGGTACCTTTTTTTTTTGTGATGATTTGAGAATTCTAGGACTTGAAGGAAAGATGCTCGAAAGAGACCATAGAATTGAATTTCTTGGAGTTAACTTAAGATTCTACTGTTCATTGGAATCTCTAAATTGTTGAATTTTTAGAGGATAATGATCTAAGATACAAAATAATATTTTAGTTATCATTATTAAGAACTTCGAGCACCCACCCCTTTTGCGTGGTTTCGAACCAAGCAAAATTTGACATTCTTTTTACTACTACTGACTTTATACTCTATTTACCATTTGAATTTAGTCATACTACGGATCCAACACCTTATTTTATAAAAAATGCTTGCAGGTTATTCGTTTTCTTTTGTTTTCTTTTTAATATCCACTGCGCTTTCCCTTGCCCAGATGTTTGCCTCTTTCGGTCTTGGAGTAGAGACCTCGTGACCGATCTCCAGTGAATAAATTGCCTCCTTGCTATCAAGTAATCAACTCATTAATTTTATGAGATAGCCGTTGATTCAACGAAAAACACATCATAATTAATTTAAGATAGACGACAATTATGAAATTTAAGCTCATTTCCTTTTAATTCACTCTAGATCCTAGACTTTCTTTTCTTTAAAGTCAACCATCTGTCATAAATTAAGGTACCATATCTACTTAAACTACACTTGAATTTACATACATCAAATCTTTACTTCTAAGCAATGTATCTAAACTAAATCTAAGTAATTGTACTGAAAAACTTAATTCATATTAACAAATTAATATTAGAAAATACTATTTTACACAGTATTCTCGTGGCTTTGCATTTCATTTTGCCCGTTATTATTCAAAAGGTTTTACAACTCACCCACTCAAATAATCAACCCTGACTCAAATATTACATCCAAAAAATGAAATAAAAAAAAAGTACACGACAATTGAAAGTACATTTCATGGGTTGAAAATAGTTCATATAAAAAATTTGGCATACATCAACAAAACCAACCGATTAACAGTTGCAAAAAAAAAAAAAGCACATCACATAGTAATAACTGATAAGACCCCCTCTCCCCTCCCCTCTTCTCTCATCCCATTCTTTTCTTTTGATAAATTTTGTATCGGTTCGGTGTAAATCTAGTCCAAAGTCGAGTTGCACCAACCCCATTTACACATAACTATCTAGATCACAGACAAGGTAAAATGTACTGATAATATCATTTTGTAGCAGTCGGCTCTTCCTGTAACAGTAAGAACAACAGAGTTATGCATCTCTATGCATAAAGCTCATACATTAAGTACAATTGGCATCAACCAAAATTGATATTATTGCCTCCAAAGTAACCAAGGTAAGAAACCTCTCTACCAAGAGACTGAACTTAAATTTCATCCGACAGCGAAGAAGATTAACAGTGAACATCGTCGTATATAGTATTTACAGACCTTACCATAATTCTTAGCGACATTGTTTGGTAAGTGGACAAAAGATATGTATGATGGTCCATCCAACAGCCTTTCCTCCACAACCACCTAATGGCAACCTGTAAAAAAGGAGCACAAGCCAACTCTGAAAATTGGAACAGAACAAGAAAGAATTACAAATTTGTAAACAGGGACGCCTCACTATGTGCTTAAATTAGAAGTTATAACTGGGGAATTGCAGAACCACGATCTGATTATTATGAATACACAAGTGTAAAAGATTGTCTAAAGTTTTACCTTAATCGACATTTGAAACTAATTTACATTTGACTATCTAATTCAAACCCTTTTCATTTCTGAAGTGAGAAGTCCCATCTGTTCCGTAAGTTTATCCACGTGTTTTGATTTGTCCCATAAATTTTCTACTGGCTGCATATCATTTGGGAATCCTCCAGCCAAAAAGTCAACCTCTTCCTGACCCGGACTCTGCACGAGCAGATCATCCCAGAAGTTGGAGTTGTCTAGTAAGGCATCAATATCAGGATCAGGAGATATGTTATCGATCTCGATTGGAATAGTTCCGCTGGCTTCCAACATACTCGGATTAATAAATGCACCATTTCCTGTCTCGGGCATCCTATAATCTGCTCCAGGAACATCAACAACGTTCTCAGACACCATCTCAGTCATTGGAGAAAGCTCGGGCATGATTACATCAGTCTCAGAAACCGACAAGGAAGAAGCTTCCCGTGCCCCTGGACCCCGCACAGCATTAACAGAAAAAGGGACGGTTGAAACCTTGTCAGAAGTTGTAGCTTGGGGTGATGATTGTATTTCTGATCTCGCAGTTGAGGGGCCATGAGGAGCAGCCGCTGAAGTAAAAGATGGCTGCCCTGAGGTCGGAGGTACTTCTTGCAGAGTCACACCTGATACAGAACTAGAAGAGTTACCATTGTCTAGTGCACACGATGATGGCAAACCATCACTCATAAGGAAACTGTCAGTATTTTGGTCCGACGGTTCCAAACGTGAAGTATCTATTTTCATAATCTGCCTCAGCATTGCTTTCGCTGCGTCATTCATGAGAGGTTGATACTTCACAATTTGCCCATCAGCAACAGCAGAATGCTGAGACTCGGCAATTCCATCCTGCTTGAGCCTTCGCTTTTTGTTAGCTTCACTTATTCGTCTAGTACTCTCATTTTGCTGCTGCACAAATTGAGCCAAAAATCCAGGGCTTTGCACAGCCTTTGCAAGGAACGACATCATCTGCTGTTGTCGCTGCTCCATTCCCTGTAGACGCTGCACCATAGTTTGCAGCTGGTTGTCAGTAGTCTGTTGCTGCTGCCTCAATCTCACAAGTTCCTGCATAAGTACATTTTTGTCTCTTTTAAGCCTCTCAACCTCTTCCTCCAGACCGAACTTACCAACTTCTACACATGCTCCCACTGAGGAACTTTGTCCATGAGACTGCTGTGGTTGTTGCTGACTGTGCCCATGGACAGGTTTTCGCCGAGTAATACTCTTCAGCAGGTGTTTCTGACCTCTTAAAAAACCTTCATTAGCAAATTCCCAACGGTCTGGATCAACTTTCCTGAATCCCTGGTTAAACAATATAAATAACCAACCAAATACAATGGAGGAATCAAACAACTGGAAAGGTACAACATGAGTAAGCAACGTGAACATAAAAGGAAAACAGATAACTGGATATAGATTTACACAAAAAGAGATTGCAGCTAGAAGTATTCTTATTTAATACTTTCTAAGCTAAGTCACTCTACCATCTCATCAAGGGGGAGGCTACTCTTCCTATTACGCTTTATAAGTTGATATGGAGAGCAAATAAACAAAAAGTTTCAAATGTCCTTTAGAAGTTATGCCTCGGATGAACTTGACCAATGAGGCTATCCAAAAGCATAACCTCATAATTGTCCTTCAACTTCTTGGTTTGTTTTGGGTAAGCACTTGGAAAATAGTAAAACACAGGTCTCCATCCACAGTGAAGCTTCAGCATGACCATATAAAGATCTTCCATATCCAAGGAGGGAAACGATGCCAAAGCTAATCTTGATTTTCTTTAAGGAGGTGAGGTGTTTGAAGGAACAAGCTAAAATCTAATGAAAATAATGCAGTTCATGCTTACTTTTGGGAGATTTGGCAAGGACACAGGTCAAGGTTGCCTAAGGAACGTTGATATAACTGCATTGTGAAAGAAATAAGCCCATTCTGAATTTAACAAGACAGCCCTGTGCTACTGAAAGAGATCTAAATGGACTGCAATTTTATGCTTAGCATTTATTTTGGTATAAAAGTAACTTCTTTATCATACATTCAATAAACGACACCTTCCATTCTATAAGCAATACAAGCATAACCAAGAAAACTGAGTCAGACTTGGGAAAGAAGCCAATTAGTTAATAGCAAGTGTTGGTCTAAAGGAATATTTGGTGATCTTGGCCAAGGAAATATGACCAAGAAAATCAGTGGGCCAATTGTTTCTGGAGCTTTCCTAAAGAAACCATGTCCATTTCGCACAAGACAATTGCTATAAAGCATAGTTATATTGGAATGAGACTTTTACTGCTGCAAGAGATAGTATTCCAAACTGAACAGTATCATTAACCCTCGTTCTTCTTCAACATTGAGATGATTTTTTTTTAATAAGAAACACAGATGGAATTAATAAATCAAAGCCCAAGATAGCAAAATCAGCCTAATGGCGGAGGGAAGAGAAAACCCTCCCTAGAGAACTATTCAATCACCGCTTTCCAACATTGAGATGATAGGATCCACTTTTTGGAAGATAGATAGGTCGGGAATTCTAGCACAGGAATGGCCTTTCCAAAATTCTATAAACCTTTCCTCAGCCAGTCAGCAGCCTAATAACAGCCACTTGAGGAGAAGCTGAAAGAAACATTGTCAGCAATGCCTTATACTAGAGATCTACATCAAAAGAAGCCAATTTTAAACCAAGCTGGTTCACCTAAATAGCCAATCTAACAGATGCTCATCAACCAAGCTGGTTTCAGGCTTTCAGCCTTATTGGGCATCATTCAAATTATCCTTATCTCTGCCCAAATTTTGGTTATAATTAAGATACAAAAAATTCATCCAAAATCAAAAAGGATTTTAGGGAAATGGAAGATTATGTATTCACTTAACAAGGGGAGATTAAAAAGGACTCCCAACCAGCACAAGTCAGAAAAACGTAGTAACTAACTTACAGTCAAAGAAATAGCAATTACAAAACTCCACCAATGTTACGACAAGTAGAAGCCAAGAATCTAACTCCCTAACATCCTTCGTATCTTTAGGCTTAGCTTTAAAGATCTTTTTGACTTTTATCAACCCAAACCTCCAGCATAAGGACATTCGGTGCATTCTCCTATAGTGCTTTACATTTTCCATTGAGCTGTTACTGCACAGCAGCTACAATAGAGCTCTCCCATCCTTCAAAATAAAATTTTAATTTTAAAAAAGAAAAAGTTTGAACAGAGTACCAGACAACCTTGGCTGAACAATGAACACTTAAGAGCAAAAGAACAACGAAGATGGCTGAAATCGATCTTCCAACAACTGGTTGCTCGTGACACACCAAGAGGATAAATATAAGGATGCTTCCTTTGATTCTTCTTTGTGGTAAATAAACCGCCACAAGCCACTGTCTGTACAAATAATTCAAGTTTATTGGGAACATGAACATGTGATTTCCAAATAGCCAACAAATCCTTATCCAAGAAAGGCAACAGGTTAAAGAGATAGATGAACTTTAGAAAGGACCCATTCTTCCACATATGAGTCAACGAGATGCCTTCTGCATAACATATTCCATTCTCCCTCTCCTTGCACCTTGAAGTCTTTAATAAGAAGCCTTTTGTAAATGTCCACCGGGTAAAAACTTTATCCCAACTATTGCTGCTACCTGTAACCTCGCCCCAGGAAGTCCTCCCGTATTCTCATTCCAGCATCTTAGCTACCTTAGGAAGTAACTTGAACAGAGACAAACAATAAATTGGAACATTGGAAGGAACAAATTGAAAAAGTGTTGATCTGCCTCCCTTTACAGTAAAAGAAAACTTCCACGGTTCCACCTGTTCATTCTAGGGGGTGATGTTTGACAACTTTTTCCTTTCCTTTGGTGCGTTTCATATTTTTATCTTCCCCAATATAACTCTTTTTTCCTTTTCCAGAAAATAAATTATCAAAGGCAACTCTATTTCATATGTTCGAATACTCAAAAAGGGAAAAAAAATCTGTACAACAATTACAGATCAATGAAGTCATTAACATGCTTATTTTACAGCTATCAAAAGAATTTCGGACCTCATAAAATTAGTGAACCACGTGTATGTTAAGACAACCAAAAGTTCTACCTTACTTCAATTTACAGCTCTTGATGCACAGAGAGTCTAAAACCTTCTCAAAAACCCTAAAGCAAACTTTCACCCATAAGATGTCAAACTATTTCTAGACAGAAGTCTACAAATTCTAAACAAAAAAAAGAAATGGACCTTTCAATAACAAATACAGCCGAAAACATAAAAATCAGAATATCGACTCCATCCCACGAATTAAATCTACTCACAGCATCCTTCGTTCCCAAAAAAAATTAAAAAAAGAAAAAAAAAAGACACACACACACACACACAATCTCCACTAAATAATTGATATCAATCTCAATCTAATTAGTTCCCGAATCCCGACTAAGTAAGCCATACGCCTCCATATTTCACAGACTTGTTAACTAACCCCCAAAAAAGTATCGAACTGCGTAGAGATCCTGAACACGAACTAAAGCGACAAAAACTAAACAAAACAATTTTCAATCGATATCAAAACCTCAACAGAATAAATAAAATAAAGTGAATTATCATACATAGGTGTTGAGCTGCCGAACGAAGCTGGAGAAGTTATTATGCTTGAAGTATTTGGGCAAAAGATCCCTAGCGAACTCAGGCGGGTTCCAGACAACAAAGCTGTTATTAGTGGGGCTCCAGGACACAACCGCGTCGGACGCCGGGTCATCCACCATGTCATAGGTCTTACTCAAGAACGGCGGAGGCGCGTTCGCATTAGTGATAGGAGCCGGCACCGTCGGAGGAGAGCTGCCACTCCCGGAAGACAATCCAGCTTCGCCACCACTACCATTCCCGTCCATCTCACCGTGAATCAACACAATACGAACAAGAAACAACAACGAATCAAACACAGATATTAATTGACCAAAATTAGGGTTTCGAAATACGGAGAATGTAGAAGGCCATCTTCAGGAACTCAAAACGCTTCGATTGAAGACGATACAACTGCAGAATCGGAAATCGGAATCGGATGTTTCAGAGCCGACGAGAGAGAACGATGAGAAGAAGAAGAAGATAACAGAGACTGAAAACGAGAGTGCCAAAATTCGTACGGACTTGCAACGAAGCGAAGCGAAGGAGAAGATGACCGACTTGCCCTAAATGGAATGCGGAGCAACGAAACGACGTCGTGTCTTAATGTTGACCTTTACACGACGTCGTGTCGGTGTTTTGACTTCTTTTCTTTTCCTCTGTTTTTTCTTTAAATAGAGACTACAATTTGTTGAATTAGTAGATATTTTATTTATTAGAAATAAAAATAAAAACAAAATTTTCCGTCCATATAGAAGTCAAAGATATTTTAGAAACGTTAAATGTCTGCTTGAGCCTTTTTAACGTGTTTTTTTCAAATTTAGTTAACGATGGTTTAAAAAATATATTTTTTAGCCGTGCATTCTTGTTTTTTCTTGCATGACAAAATATTTAGCGGGATGGTAAGAATTAAATATATATATATATATATATATATATATATGACTTATGAAACATTTAATTTATCTTTCAATTTGTAAGAAGTCAGTGAAATTTTCGACTAAGAAGTGATGTAGTCTAAATTTATTTTATGATAATTCAAATATCGTGTTTTATAAGGTTATAATTGATAAATTTTAAATTTTACTAACTAATGAATAAATTAACTTTCTTAAATAATAATAAGAACACTCGAATATTAGGAATTAAATGACATATTTAACCTTATAAGAACCGAAGTTTCAATTTTTTTTTTTGGTTTTATTGCTCACTTATATAAAAGAGTTCAATTTAAATATAACTACGTATCAACTATTAAACAAACTAGTTTTATTTAAAAAAATACTTAACTAAAAAGTTAATAATATATTTAAAAGCCGATTACAATCCCTATTTTATATTACTAATGTAACATTCAAAAAATAGTGTATATATATATATAATTATTTTATTATGATGTAAATAATTAGTTTTCTTTAAAAAGTATGTAAATTTAATGAATTATAGTAACATATTTTTAAAAAGATTAATATATTGTTGATTATTTTTTAAATAATGATGGTTTTTAGAGCATGTAATAATTTGTGGACAAGAGAGCGAGGGAGGAATAATTAGACTTATTCGACATGTTACCAAAATAATTGAGTGCAGAAATTCATTTAAAGAAAATAAATAAATAAATAATTTTTAAATATAAAATAAGATAATTGAGTGTACGGTGTACTTCGGCCACAGTGCTGGGCCGGCGGCCCACAATCACGATGGGCCTAAGATATTAGGTTGATGCTGAGTGACGTCACTAATTATTGGGCCCGGCATGGATCAATTGTTGCTAATATGGGCCCTTAATCACTGGGTATTTGCTTTCTTGCAAGTGACTTGAACATTTTGTTTTGGTTAAATATGTTTCAATGCTCAATGTTGTGGTGTTTCATCGATTTAGTATCATTATTTTAAAAGTTTCATTTATGTTTTTTTGTGCAACAATATGTGAGGTAGAGATTCGAATACACGATCTTTTAATCGAAGAAATATACTTTAACCAGTTGATGTTGGGAATGACAGAACAGAAATGTTTAACTCTTGTTCCACATGGGAAGTTTCACAAGTGGGAGAAGGATTTATAAGACTTGTAAAAGATGTTTAATGTGAGTCTAAGACATCTCTCATATGCATGTTGTCATCCGTTCGGTCGGACGAACGGGTTTGGGTAACTCATGCAATGTTAAAAATTTTGTGACAAAATTGCTTTCAAGGCAGTAGTTATTTCACAGTACTGCAATTTTGTTTTCTCAAAATCCTCTTTTTAACGTATAGCTGGACTAGACTTAGATTGATAGTTTTGATTTACTTGAGTTACTTACGTTTTAATATTTTCGAATTATATCATTCTTGTTGGTGAGTATTAAAATTTTTTTGACAACAATCTTGCATCACATGATACTGATATCATAAATTTAGGGAATGGATTAGATTACATAAGAGAAAAGAAGTTCAAATTCAAGTATTTAGAAACATTGAGGAGGAATTATAATATTTTTTTTCAATTACTACTGAGCTATGTTCTGGCTTTAGCAAAATCTTTATTTTTAGGCCATCGAATTGCTTCTATTAGTAGCTCACTATTATGTAAAGTAAGTTTATTATTAGTAAATTTTAACCTTTACCAAAAAAATATTTTAAAAAAACTATCCACGAAAAGAGTATAATTGAAAATATATTAAAATATAAGAGACTAAATTAAATATTCTTAAATAATACCGACTAATTTAAGAAAAAAATTAACCTTTCAAAAAATATTCGTTAAAAAAAAAAGAAAAAATATATAAGAGTAAAACATGTATTTAACATTTGTTAGTAACATTTTACATTTGCCCAAAAGTTAAATTTCCTATCCCACATTTTCAACCCTATATTCTAGATGGAAAAGGAGAATTATAACTGCCTACTCCTATAACAAGCCATACTGTCACTAGCTATCTTAAAAACAGTTTTGGTTTTTCAGGCAAAATTCTAGACTATAGAGAAATTATTAAAAAATAATAATAATAATATTAGGTATGAAATTATTGATCTAGATTCACTCCATGAAAGACCAAATAAGTAACATGGACTCGAACCGTTCAAGTCAAGTTGATTATGTCGGACCACTCAAACCAGGTTGTTTCGATCGAACTGATTCGTCTGACCTAACATGATCGAGGCATTCCACTCGAGCCAACGCAATGAGAGATATGAGATGAAATGTATGTTTTACGTCATCTTACTTTTTGTTGTTCTCAACTGAACCCTTATTTAAGTATCAGAGTGTGTTAGCTTAGTACCACATCGGTTTGCAAATCTCTGATGTGTGCAGTGATTGTTCGGAGTATTTAATGTTAGAGTTCATAACCAAATTTACATCAATAAATAAGTTAATCAAATTAGGGAAAAAAAACTGAAGATAGAATAATTATATGACATACTGATCTTAGTTATTTAAATGCTTTGGTGGTTGGATATCTTTTTTATTTGATTGATAAGTTGGACCAAGATTCCTACATCATTAATAGAAAATTGCGACTGATGCTAAAACTCAAGATGTTGCCACTTTTGTCCTTTTTAGGGACAGTTTATTATTTTAATATGATTTGTCAATTTAAATCCCTATTGTCTTATTTTTCCCTTGCTTTTGAAGATTTCAAATTAAGAAAAAAAAAAGGGTTAAAATTACATATTGTCAACATCGTTGTGAAAATTTACAAAAATCCAACATAAACATAATTTAGTGTTGTCACTCTTCGATCGAAGTAGTACTTTAAAATGTAATTGAAATCCATATTTTTTCGATTAATGTGATTTGTCAGATCTCCCATCTGGTTATCACAATGTGAATGCTCATCTCTAATCAATTGGATGTGTTGTAAAACTATAACTTGTCATGTTAGTTCTTCAATGACAACAGAGACGTTTATTTAGCTAATTTAATCACAGCACGTATAAGGATGTCAATGAAAATTTTAAAAATCATACCGACCAAATTGAAAATACAATTAAAATGTAGGTACAAAAATTGCAATTAGACCAAAAATAATAATTAGAATATAGTTACAATCAAATAAAGTAAAAGGAAAGAAACAAAGAAATGCTTTAGTGATTAGGATATCAAAATTCATAAAGCACTACACATAAAATGTTGAAATGACGTTTGTACCCCTTGTTTTATGGGAAATGCCAAGAGTTTCACTTCAATAATAATTTAGTGGAAACACCACAAGTACTAATCACACGCTCGCATAATGTGATTGGAAAAAAAAAGTAACCAAAAAAGGAGTCTTTTTAATTACATGAGAATGAGATTGTTCTACGTTTTTGTAAAAATGACTTTTTTTAGTAACTTCATTTTATTTTTTTAATCTCATTATATAATAAAATTTCTTGAAATGTATTGCTTTAGAGAAAAAAAAAATATTGAAATATAGTTATAACTTTGTACGGAAAAGCTTTTGTTGCGTATAGTATTTGCGTTAAAATTTTACAAATAAGAACTAAACTGGTATTTTTAAAAGTTCAACAAAAAGAAAGTTTTAAAATATTAGGGGCTAAAATGAACAAAAAGTTAAAAGTACAACTATCGACATTATAATTTCTCCTTCCACGTAAATATCCAAACACAACAAAAAATATGCAAATAGGAAGAAAACTAAGCTCATGTCTAGTGTTCCAGGTAATTCATTAATAATTGTTTAAGGATTTGATATAAAACTCTCCCAAAAATATCTGCTATAGGTCCCAACAAAAGCCTCTAGCTTCTACGTATTTTACACAATAAATACTTAGGAATATGAATGAAAACTCACAAGAATTAAGATACAATTACCCCGAGAATGATGATCTTGATCAACCCCAAAACCTCTGCCAATGCTCGAACCGCTGCCACAAATTTGCTGCCAAAACCCGCTCAAAATCGGCTGCAAATAACCCTCTTTTTGGCTGGTCAACCCTAAAATCCGTAAGCTGCGAATTTATAAACATCGAAATAGCGCCATGGTGCTGCCCTCTAGGCCAAGCGTCTCGGCTCAATCCCGATTCATCCTTAACTCGTTCTGACGTCGTTTTGACTCCACCAATCCCAACGTTTTATAAAACGTTAGCGTGAGGTTTGCAACCATTCTATGAGAGATTTTTGTTCTAGTGTTCACTAGGGCTTTTGTTCAAAAACTCTATTTTTGTTTATATATAAAATATGAGCAAACTCATGAATCAAATGATGTTATGGTTAAATACCATAGTCAAATTCGTGTATTCAAAATTCACACTTAAAATGCTTCAAATAAGTGGTGTCGATTTCAAGGGTGTTCGTTTCAATCGAGCATTTGCATGAGAAATATCGTTGACCTACACAATGGGTGTGGGGAAGAATTGGTTTGGTTATTCAGGGAAGTAGACAAATACTGTTAAATGTTGTTTGTAATCCTTTGATGTTCTTTGATCTGCAACGCTCTCCAATCTATAAGACGAAACAGTAAGCACGAAGAGAGATAAGTAAATCTTGATAAAAATCCCTTGATACACATTTCGACTTATACTGACTTGAGCATCAAAGTGCACACTATTTTTTTGCAAGTTCCTCTATTTGTCCAGAATGATTTGTGCGATTCGTTTGTAGAG